CCAGTAGAAGCCTCTATCACGCACACTACACACCCGTCGAAACACGAAAAGCACGCAAACGTAAGGATCCTACATTTTGGGTTATAAAGGATTCCAGAAGCCTTTTCGTCAGATCCTTGTGTTTACGTGGCTTTTTGGGCCCCGAAGCACAAGACGCTTATAAGTACTACAACACATACATAGAGACATACAGTATTAAGTTTGTAAATTCGAGCACGGAGAGAGAGAGAGGACCTCTGAAGCCACCGAGAAGCTCTCCGGGCCGTTTTTCCTGGTTTGCGGAGTGCTTTGGGCTTACGGTTGTTTGGGGGTTTAGGGTTCAGGGCTTTTGGAGATTAAGGTTGACGGCGCTTATAGGGTTAGGCGACCTTGGATGCAATGTTCCCTGCAGCATGGCTAAGGCAGCCTCGCTTTATGCGCTTTCAAGCCTCTACTGCAACATTCCACATGTTGCGCTAGGCAGCTAGGCTTGCTAAGCCCCAAACCCCAAGACCTTAACCCCTGAACCATGAGCCTGTAACACTCGACATGTTGCGCAGGGAGCTAGAACCGCAGCGAGACTGCCCATCCGCTGCCGTGCAAACTTTTCCAGGTTTGCCGGCACTGAAATCCAAGGGCTTGGTAGCGGCCTCGGAAAAGCAGCACTTCTGGGATGCTCCGGATACAACCTGAAGATTATCATGTAAAGTCTCCGCATATGGCATATATGTTAGGATATAAATGTGCGCATGTCCTGTGTTATGATAATTGTTGTGCTATGAAACTATGCCACGTTGTGTTGTGTAGGTCGTGCTACGTCACCTTGTGTTATATTGTGTTAGCTTGTGCTATGTTATGCGATGTCATTCCATGACATGTCATGTTATGGTCATGTTCTGCAATGTTGAGACATGAAAGCGTCACGCCATGTTGTGTTATGGCTTGCTATGCTATGTTATGCAATGCAAGGCAAGGCAATGCGGCGACATGCTAGGTAATGCATTGTATGGCGTTACGTATTATAATGTCATGTGCTGTATAAGGTAGGGTAGGGTAAGTAAGGTACGGTAATGTAATGTCTGTATATGTAAATGTGTTATGGGTTGGGAGAGTTGCGCAGTTATTTGTTTTTCATCTATAGATTGTTTTATGTGTATGTGTACGTACTTGTATATTATATGTTTACGTATTTCGCTGTTGTTCCACTTGAATAGTTGGATAGTCAGTTATTTCCTAGGTCCGATAGTCATTTAGCTCGTTTGTTTTATTTCTGTATGTGCTTGATGTATTTTTCGCTCCATAAAACCGTAGGCCTAAATCGCGTCTTGTTGCATAGTTAGCTACATCCTGGCATACCTGCAGAGTCCTCACCTAGCTGTCAGCAGTAGCTTCTGTGTGGTCGAGACCTTTCGCGCTTCCTGGTCCTGGTTGCTGCACGTCTCTTAACCCCAAAAATACGCAGATAGCACAGATTGGGTTTCTGAAAACCCTTACGCGACTGGTATGTCGTGTTCTTTCCCGGTTGGATTGAACTTGTTGCATTGAAACGGATAACTTGGGCGCGTAGGCTATTGGCCCCATGCCCCAAAAAGAAAGTCAACGAACTGGCGATAGAACTGCGGCGAATCCAGACACGTTGCATTGCATTTTCAACCATTTTAAACCCGAGCCATTGTGGCGCGGATCTCAAGCCCCATGAAGATCGTGGACACCGAGAGCCCTCAAACGGCTTCACAACTTTGCAGGAAATCCCGTTCAACTGCAGTAAACGTATCCCAGAAGGCTTTACAGCCTAAGCCCTGCATTTCCCACCAAGTAGTTACGTCCTAATGTGGTACCCTTATAGTACCTTTGTAGTAATCTGCATGTTCCTTTGTAGTGCCCCAAGGTGTCCTTAAAGAGCTCGATGAGGGACTTCCGGCAGAATCCTCAGAGCCTTCAGGCGGCCTCGGGCTTGGGCGCTAGCTATTTAAGAAAACATGTTTTACGTTCTAGTTTCAACCCAAAGGGGTTTAAAAGACTTGGATTTCTTGCTTCGGATTTATCATTCGTCCACCCTTCGATTGAAGTCGCAGCGGCAACAGTAGTCGTGGTGATTCTCCTGCTCCTCCTGCCCCGTCCGCCCCTCCTCCTCCTCCTCCTGTCCTCGTCCGCGTCGTCGTCGGAGTCGGTACTTTGGTGGTCATGGTAGTATTGGTAGTGTTGCAGAAGAGTTTGACTCTTATTGCCCAGCCGTTTACGGCAATGTATGGCTTTAGATGTTTGCTGTTGAAGCTTGGAGGGTGTATTCAGGTCATTTCCGGACAGAGCCCTATTCCTTAGTCTTGTTTAGCACTGGTACATCCTACAGCATCAGCGCTTATAGCCCATAGCCCATGCCCGAAAACATAAAGGCACTAAATCCTGAACCCTAGACAACCCCCTGAAACCCAAGGGCCCCCAATTGCCCGAACAGCCCGCAGAGCATCTCTGGGATTTGGATCATGTCGTGCTCTTCCCCGAGGCCAAAAGTCTTCCGATGACCTCCGGGGCGGTTATATAGATGCAAGTCCGAAGCTGCTTAGAGCGTTGGGGGAGGCACAGGGTATGTCGGGTATGTTGGGGTTTACGGTAGGGTTCACGGAGTTTACGGTACTAGAATCGGCGCCGATCAGGAAAGCGGCTTAGAGAGCAGCCAACGGCACTCCAATTGCGCCCGAAATTAAGCTTCTAGTTCCTCTACGGTTGCACATTTTCGGGATCACTGTGAGCTGCAGCCGAACGGTTTAGAACAGCTTTCATGTTACACGGTTTCGTCAAGAGCTCGCTGGGCTTCGGAAATCCAGATTGCATCGTGTCTCACATGCCATGGGAAGTCTTCAGCAAAACCCACTTTCGGCCGTTGTCAAGAACCAAGCAAAGCCTCAATCCCTCCAGAGTCCCACAAGAATCGAAGTTGCCAGCCTAGCCATGGAAGATCCAAGAAGCCGCTTTGGGGTTCGGGGCTTTGGGCCATAGATTTCATCCCAAAGGACACATCCCAAAGATTCGAGAGTCTAGACACATCATCTCAGAACGAAAATGTACTGTCTTCGGAGAAGCTATCTCTCGAAACGAAGAGAGCAGACACATGAGCCAACATGAACTCTACAAGCCGTGCCAACGAGCTTCTGAAAACCCAGGGGCTTCGGGCCTGAAGGTGCGCTGTCAATTTCACAACAGCCCCCGAATAAAAACAGAGTCTTGGATAAAGTTACAGGTCGTTTCTTTGTCGTTAGTTGCTGCTGAATGTGCAGGCACAGGCTCGGAGAAGTTTCGGTGATAATTAGTTTTGGACTCCGGGGTCCTTTCTCAGTTGCAGCTTGTTGGACCTGGTGTGTTTGGGTGCCGCAGAAGACAGGAGTCCGATTTAGGAATGTCTGGATTCCGAAGTTAGGAAAATCAGGCGTGTATCGGCTTCACGTCTTCAGGCTGGATGATTCGCCCCATCTCCCGAAAGCCAAACACAGCCGTTCGTTGCCCGAAGAATCCTTGCCGCGCTTGTTTTTGCTGTTGTCGGCTTCTCGTTTCACATTACATGAGCACCTGACTAAATTCGGCTGCGGGGTATGTTAGAATCCTTTTTTACAGGCATGTTTGTTGGTTCGCATCTTGCTCTGGTGATACAGAAGCAGGTGATCCAAAGCTTTAAGCTGCATAATCTAAGCCAATCTTCGCTTGCTGAAAGCCCTCTACCGACGTTTCGTCTGGGGTTCACCTAGGGTCCGCACAAGATAGCACTCTGCTCGAAGAGGAGGGTACTGCGGCAAGACGACCGGTGAGCCTTGAAATCTGGCATACGAATTACCAGAGACAGGTTTAGGGTTTGGGCTCTGTGACGTGTCTACGGAGTTGTAGGGCTTGGACCAAAGAGTTCTGGATCCCAAGAACCCGACTTTGCTTCGAGCAAAGTGCCCCAAGCCATCACATACAAAGCCTTATATACTGTGCACACTCAGTCTACCTCCTCAACCTCAAGGCCTAACTAAACCCAACCCAGGAGCATCAACCTTTTGGGCCCAAAATCCTCGACCAGTCAGATGCATCCTGTCACATTGCCTTGACCTGCCGAAACACCTTTCTTGTAGAGTCTTAATGAAACTGGTGCAGAATTTTTGTTTGGAACTTTTCAGGAAGGCCTCTGGTCCAAAAACAAAAGCAGAGAACCCGATTCAAGCTCCCGGTCGTAGTAAATGATGGGATGCAGCGTTGGCTGCAAAAGCAGCGGGCCCAGGCATTGTGGCAGTTCCAAAAAATGCAAGCAGGTCACAAACAAAGGGCGAGTGCAGCTAGAGAATCTGCACCGGATTAGGTTAGCGAGGCTCAGTTTCTTCCTCACGCAGGCTGTGAATTGCCTGTCTTGGGGGCTTCTCGGGGCTGAGAGGCGTCTTTGGATTCGAACCAGGAAGCCATGGCTTCAGAAAGGATGGCTTAGCCGTGTAACCCAAAGAATGCTCCCGGTCCATAAGTTTCTGGAGCACCCTTCGATGTCGTGGCTTTGGACCTGCTTCTGCGCAGCCCATGCTACAAGCTAAGAGTCTGCGGTCTTAGATTTGTATGTTGGAGGGCTTCTAATCAGGATTTACTTGGAGGGCTTCTAATCAGGATTTACTTGCCAACAGCGCCAGACGCTAAGAACCCGAGGTACAGGTGCCAAGAGGGCTCAATTTTTCAGTCGCCAACGCTGGAAATGAGGCAATGTGCAGGAAAGTTCAGCCCTTCAAACTCCAAGGTCCCGAACAGGGAGTTCTTATCCAATACTCCGCAGTAGCAGTAGTAGTAGTAGTCGTCGTCGTCGTCGTCGTAGTCGCAGCAGAAGCAGCAGGAGCAAGGCCAGAACTGAAAATCTAAGCAAACCATGAAGTCCAGTTTTGAAATCCTAAGCAATTCTTACCCGGAAACCCTCAAGACCCAAAATACTCTGTATCCGCCAAATCCCCTCCAACCCTCAATAAAACCGCTGCAACCGCTTGAACCCTTAACTCTAAAAGTTTCATCCGGCCATGACCGGCCCTTCCTCCGCGGGCCTCACCCTGACTCTGCGGCTGCCTGGCAACCGGGAAGAGGCTTCGGAAGTACGCGCTTATTGAGACCAGGTTTTTCAGTGTATTGTGACGGCTTTGTCAGAAGTTAGGATTCTTTACCTAGGGTCTGCAAGCAGGAATCCTACCGTTTGTGGTCAAATTCAGGATCCTGCATTTCGCAGTTGACGATATGTTTTGGATGATGGTGAGTTTACAGTTTACATGGGTTTTGTCTTTGAAGGTCTCTGCTGGAGGGGGTGTTCGTAGTTCTTCCTTGCGGGAGTTGAACTTGAGAGTGTGTGCGTTTGTGTGCGTGTGTGTGTGTGATCAAGCTTCGGGGCTTGGGGCTTGAAGTTAGCACTGGAACTAGCATGTGAGGCTGGTTGTAGACCCTAAACAAAAGGCAAGGCCAGATTCCAGCGCATTCTTGAAATGAGCCCCTCGGCTTAATCATCCTGTTGTCAAAGGTTCCGTACGAGGGTCCCGTGTTTTCTGAACTCGCTTTAGAGGAGCTCGGAAGTCATTTCAGGGGGCTGGCTGTCACGATGAATCCCGAAGCCTTTGATCAGAACAACCCATGTCTGCAATGCTTAGGGCCTTAGGGGTTTGGGGGCTTGAGGGTTATGAGTTGGGCTTCGGGCAAGCGAGAGATGGGATCAGACTTGCTACGGTTCAGGCTGCAGAGCATAGGTGACTGAATGGTTTCGGGTGCAGGGCTTCGGAGTCGGGGTTCTAGCTTGGTTTCGGGCTTCTTATGTGAAAGCCTTTACCAACAGTTCAACACCGAACCAAGAACGAAGCCAGGCTTCTTTCCTTGTGGGTTTGTCGTTTCTGATCCCAGACTTCACCGAGCAACCGAAAGTGTAGGTGACACCTTTCGGTTTGATGTGAAAAAGATACAAAAGCTAACCAACTGTCGATCGCAAATCCGCAACACCAGCCACGAGCTTCGTACCGGTGACTACGAGCCACGTCTCAGACAACCTCAGCATACGCAGCCCTGCCTAAAGCCTATGTTATGAACTTCAACCAACGACCGCAGCATCCGGAGGTGCTGAGCGTACGGGAAGATGATCTGGGCAGCAAGGTGCCCCGAAGATTTGATTGTACCTTCCCTCCTCCTTCCTGCGCACTGCTCAGAACTCCACACCTTCCAAGTCTCAGAATAGGGCAGGGCCGGGAGGGGTTCCATGCGACCTACACAGCAGTTGCTACAAAAGCAGGTCCTCCACGAGCAGCACCCCCTAGGCACCCTCAAAGCCCAAAGACCCCTAAGCCCTGGCTGTGTATGTCTTATCTCACAATTTGCGGGAGTCTCGTTTGGGAATGAGCCAAGGTGTGGTCCTCGCTGAAGACGCTTGCAGCCCTCCACCGCTTCCCTGCGCCCGACCCGGCCCTCACACCTTTGAGGCTGGATTTGGGGTTTCGGGTGTAGGTGAAGCCCCCAGCACTTCCGGCTTAACCTGCTCAAGCCCCTAAGCCCTTCAAGTCCAAGATTGCAGAATTTCTGACTGGAGAACTCTGCATATCTAAATGCGAGGCTGTTATGCCCTGTGGGGGATTGGGGGATTGGGGTTTTAGTTTCTGCACCAAAAGCTGACTGGAGGAGACCAGCACCATGAGTCGGAATCTTCTCTGTAGGCTCGAAGTTCCGGCGGCTTGAACTACAAACCCAGATCCCCCCTGGCAACGCCTACCCCGCTGAAGTTAGAAGCAGGAATACTGGCATTCCATAGGCTTCCCCAATACAATTTTACTTTATAATGCATGCCTTATACTATACTTCATGCCGGACTCCAGCCTACCTTTCAAAGTCCCCGTATATAGACCGGGTCACGAAAGATCTTTCAGGCGTCCAGATGGGCAAGAGCTGTCCTTGGACCAGCCACTGCGATGCCAGGGTCTGCCTCTGGGCTGTGATCTCTAAGGGGCAGTGTTCGTTGCTTGGGGTCGCGGAACGAGAGCCGCCTTCCAGCAAGTGCGTGACGGATTTGTTGGCGCAGGGCGGGCTCTCTGATATTAACGTAAAGGTTGAAAGGTGGTTTGCCTCTGACATGGTTTGAAGTTTGGGTGCTGTTCAGGTCTTTCTGAGCACTTTGTCCAGGACGAGGCTCATGTCCTCCCATTTGCGTGTGCTTCTGCTGTAATTTGAGCTTTACATGTCATACTTAGGGCCAATCCCAGGTAAGGCCGCTGGCGTAACAGTCCCGAAATAAGGAATACTACCTATGTGCGGCCCCAAAGTACCCGCTAGTCCCTTGTCACTACTGCAAGGTTGTTCTGCTTAATTCATCTCGTGCAAAGACAGTTGAATCTCCCAGAGCTCCAACCTTCGGCGTGCGAATCCTGCGGTCAGTGTGGTCTGGCCTGTGGTTTCGAGACGCTGAAGCAAACGAGTCTTAGACCTGAACATTTGAGCTGTCTAGCCATGACTGCTTACCACACTATCGAATGCACGCGCGCTAGTCTTGAAATAAGTCTGAATGAGTGGAAACATCCGCCAAACCTTGCTTCCTTCCCTGATTCCCTGCGACGGATAGACCAGACACATCCCCCTACCCCGAGATTTGGGTGTTTCATTAGGCTCTACGGGGTTGGGGCTTCACGGGTTTGGGGATTCGGTGCTTTAGGGCTTTGGGCGTTTAGGCTTTTACGCCTTTTTGGTTTTAGGCATTCTACACGTCGAACCAGAAGGGCTTCCAAAGCTCAGGAGGGACGGCTCTCTCCTAATACTGGCAGAGCCGCCTCCCCCGCCACCGCGCGTGCACGAGAAGGACTGCCGAAGCAACGGACACCGAAGCCTCAAGTCAGGACGACGATTGGACTACGGCTATATCTGTATGATATAATAGAATGGAGCGGAATACCATAACATATATTATGAGCTGATATGTCAAAGTTTATTCGGTTTTCGGGTTTGTGATTAAGTCATTAAGTTGCATGATAGGGGTGATGCAGCGAGGTTCAGCGTCTGAGTCTACAAATTTAAGCAGTGCGGGCAATGGGTTGGCTGGGCCAGAGACCTGTACCGCCCACCACGACGACGACTACTTCCACTTCTACTAGTTCTTCTGCTTCTATTTCTACGCTGAGGACGAAGACGATGCCGACGGCCCGCCACCACCACTGCCACCGTTAGTGCCAGTTACCACGACAAGCTGCTTCTATCAGTCTTATCAATAACCTCAGCATTCGTTTCCTGCGTTTTTCGCTGGCGCAGGTCGTTGTAACGTCGGCCGAGTTCGCACTCCAGCAGGATCCAACGCGTTGTCAGCACCTTGGGTGTTTGTCTCGAAGGTCCCTCATCGATTTTGGAACGATGAGACTACAGGTTGTAGCTGCTCTCGAAGAGCTTCCGATTCAGGGATTCAGGCGTTGGGAATTGCAGGATGCAGGGATGAAATATGGGTGGGGTGTAGCCCTCACGGTTCAACAACTCCACGATCATAGCACCCATCGACAAGATCGGTACTGATGCCTCAAAAACCCGGGGTGCCCAATCTGAGGGGTTGGAGCTTTCAGCTGCTGAAGCTTTTGGCACAGAGATATGCATGAACAAGTATACAGTGTCGGAGCACCATTCCAACTCTCAATCTCCTATATTCAAGTTTGTCCACCTTTCGTGGGCCCAAGCGAAGATCTTACACGAACAAGACTGCAAGTCATGTGTTTGAATATAGAACAGTTGTTGAACTCAGCACCGCTTGATCCACCTCTCAAAGGCCAAGCTGTAGAGAGAAACCTTGACTTTATAAGAGCCATAGCCATGGTTTGCTTCAACTAACACCACTTTGGAGCTTTGCCCAAGCCCTACAGCCATCCCCGAACCCTGAAACGCGAATTCTGGGTGTACGAAGCCTGAGGACCGATGCTCACCCCAACCGAAGGCACGTAGGCGAGGGGCTTGAATAATTGGTCTTAATTGCTGTTGCTGAGAGCTCCTGCAACTAACACTAAGTGACAGAGTAGAGTGCAGGAGGAGGACGCTCCGCCGCGCCCCTCTCTGACAGTTTCGGAGCCGAGTGTTTGGCCCAAGGAGGCCGGCCCAAGCGCCTGGAGTCTGGAGTCAAGGGCATTAGTCTGCATAAGATGTGTCTTCGATATAGGGAGCTATTGCTAGCTGCTCCGGCTCTTGGGGTGAAGCTTGGGATTGGAGGAGCCGGAAGTCTTGGGGTAATTTGTTTGGTTTAGGCTTGTGGAGCAGAGGGCTGCAGGTTTAGTTAGTTTAAGGTTTGGGGTTCAGGGTCACAGTTCAAGGCTCACGGTGTAGAGCTTAGAGGAAAAATCCTTGAGCAAGTTTGCTTCAGAGCTTAATTTTCTTTTGGGTTGAGGATTCCTGACTGCGGATGTTTGTGGGCTCGTCAATAGGGATAGCGCAGCAATGCAGAGCATGTGAGGTGAGCGGCAAAAGCCTGCTTCTGCTGTTCACCCTTGCTAGCGTTCCATGTTCGACTTGCCCACCCTGTACTTTCGCTGGACCAACTGAAGCCCTAAACCCTGTACGGTGTGGGGTTTCGGGTTTAGTTTTGGGCTTGACGTCCTCATAGAGCCTCGAGGTCAGAGAAGACGAGGCGAAGCGGCTGAAGGAGCAAGGGACACCCGACACAGTTTCACGATGTTTCACGTCGACTCGCAGGCCTGAGGTTGGGGGATTTGGGATGGGGACAAAGGTTGGCTCTGAAATAGGATTTAGGTGATAGAACTCTGAACTCTTGAACTCCTCTAAACCCCTAAACCCCTAAACCGTTAAACCCTTACGCCCCGAAGCCTGAAGCTCCAATGCCCTCTAGCTAAAGCTTCTGAAGGCATGGCTCAGGTTAGCCTGTAGTCCTTAGATCCCAGGCCACAAGAGTCATGTTAATTATTAGCAGTTGGGGGCCTGCGGCAGGTGCACCCATTCCAATCACTATCCAGAAGAAAATGCAATTTGCATCACTATTTAAGCTTCTGTAGGGACAGCCCGTGAGCCATGTTCGGATTGAAGAAGGTGACGCAATGCATTCTAGCTGCTTTGTTTCTGCTGGCCTTACAGGCGATGTGGTCCGGCAGGGAGCTCTTGAAAATGCAAGGCGTGACCGACGACACCGTTGAGGCCGCACCATTCCCAAACGAAACAAGCAGAAGCACAGCTCCGCCCCAGTGTTCGTCAGATTACTTTGCTCCGAGGGAGGCCAAGCTGTTCGCAGGACCTTTGTTTG